AGGTATATATAAGATATAGATGACAGAGTTTTCTGAAGCGGTGTCCAAAGGTGAAATCACCTTTTTTTTCCCCAAGGCTAAGGCACACTTCTGTAAATGGGAGCCTTTCATTTCTTTCTTTTTTTTTTGGTCTCCACCTCCTTTTCTTTTTTATACATGTTTCACTAAAGCTTGTTTTGATAACACTTTGGAATTTTGCACTCACTTTGGGAACAGCTTGCTTATAGCAATGTTTTTTTTTTTTTCTTTACGTTATCAACGAGATGTAAAAATATTCATGAAGACCAGTGCAAAACTTGATGGAGTAAAATATTCTTCAGCATCCTTCCAAATGACTGGTTAGTTCAAATATTCTAGAATTCACTAGATGCTTCATTTCGATTTTTAGGTTGTCCCTATTGATATGCAGTTAAGCAGCTAAATATTTTGAAAGTTTTCAGCTGGTTGTGTTACAATATATATCTCAGCTTTGCTTCATTCTTATCGGTATGGGAGCTTGTGCCGTAGTTATAAGTGGCTGGCTTCATCTTGGTAGATGAGGAAAGGAGAGTCTTTTGATTAATTCCACTATGTCAACAAGTAATGCCCCTTTCTTTTACTGTTATTCCTTTCTTTATTCAGAATCAGCTTTCATATACAGGCATACCTTGGAGAATTTTGGTTTCCAGATCACCACAATAAAGAGAATATTGCAACAAACCGAGTGAAATTATTTTCTTGGTTTCCCAGTACGTATAAAAGTTGTGTTTCTGCTATAGTGTAGTCGTTTAAGTGTGGTATAGGATTATGTGTAAAAAAATCCGATGTACATATGGTCTTTAAAAAATACTTTATTGCTAAAAAATGCTAACCATTATTTGGGCTCTCAATGAATTTTAATGTTTGCTGTGCAGGGCCTTGGCTCAGTGTTGATGGCTGCTGGTTGATCAATCAGTGGGGTGGCTGGGGCAGTGTCTTAAAATAAGACAACAATGAATTGCACAGCTTTGATCGAGTCTTTTTTTCAGGAATGATTTCTCTAGGGGCGCCTGGGTGGCTTAGTCGGTTAAGCATCCGACTTTCGCTTAGGTCATGATCTCGCGGTTCGTGGGTTCGGGCCCCGCGTCGGGCTCTGTGCTGACTGCCAGCTCAGAGCCTGGAGCCTGTTTTCAGTCTGTGACTCCCTCTCTCTCTGACCCTCCCCTGCTCACGCTGTCTCTCTCTCTCTCTCCTAGAAATAAAAAAAAAAAAAAGGAATGATTTCTCTAGCATGTGATGCTGTTTGATAGTGTTTTACCCACAGTAGAACTTCTTTCAAAATTGGAGTCAATCCTCTCAACCTCTGCTCCTGTTTTATGAACGAAGTTTAGGAGATATGCTGAACCTTTTGTTGTCAATCTCAACAATCTTCAGTAGATTCCATCTTGAGAAACCCACTTTCTTAGCTCATCCGTAAGAAGCAACTCCTCACCTGTTCAAGTTTTATCATGAGATTGTAGCAATTCAGTCCCATCTTCGGGTTCCCCTTCCAATTCTAATTCTCCTGCTATTTCCACCGCATCTGCCGTGACTTCCTCCACTGAAGTCTCAACCCCCCCTAAATCATCCATGAGGGTTGGAATGAACTTCTTCCAAACATCTCTATGTTGGTATTTTGATCTCTTCTCGTGAATCATGAATGTTTTTCATGGCATCTAGAATGGTGAAGGCTTTTTAGGTTTTCAATGTACTTTGCCCAGATCCATCAGAGGAATTATAAGACAGCTACAGCTTTTCAAAATGTATTTCTCAAATAAGACTTGAAAGTTGAAATTACTCCCTGACCCATGGGCTGCAGAATAGACCTGCCTGTTGTTAACAGGCATGGAAATAACATTCATCTCATTGCGCATCTCCATCAGGGTTCTTGGGCAACCAGGGACACTGCTGATGAGCAGTAATATTTTGAAATGATTCCCCCCCCCCGCCCCGCCCTGCCCCTGACCCAGCAGGTCTCAACAGGGTTTAAAGTATTTAGCAAACCATATTGTAAACAGATGTGCCATCACCCAGGCTTAGCTGTTCCATTTATAGAGCACACAGTGGACTTAGCCTAAATTCTCAAGGGCCCTCAGAGTTTTGGAATGGTAAATGAGCATCGGCTTCTACTTAGTCAATGCTACGTTAGCTGCTAACAAGTCAACCCATCCTTTGAACCCAGGCATTGACTTCTCTCTAGCTATCAGTCCTAGAAGCCACCTTCTTCCAGTAGAAGGCTGTTTCATTTACATGGACAATGTTTAGTGTGGCCACCTTCATTAATTAGCTTTGCTAGATCTTCTAGACAGCTTGCTTTGATCTGTACTTTTGCTGTGGAGACCATGTCTTTCCTCAACCCTCCTGACTAACCTCTACCAGCTTTGAATTTCTCTTCTGCGGCTTCCTCACCTCCCCCACCCTTCATAGAACTGAAGAATTAAGGCCTTGCTCTGGATGAGGGTTTCTGGTATAAGGGAATGTTGTGGTTGGCTGATCTTCTGTAGACCACTACAGTTTTCTCCACATGAGCCGTGAGGCTGTTTTGCTTTATCATTCGTGTGTTCACCGGAGCAGCACAATCAGTTTCCTTCAAGAACTTCCCCTTTGCATTTACATGGCCGCTACCCAGTGCAAGAGGCCTCGCTTTTGGCCTACATTGGTTTTCCACGTTTTCTTCACTAAGCATGTCTAGCTTTTGATTTAAAATGAGAGGTGTGCAATTCTTCCTTTTACGTGCACACTTAAGAAGCCATTGTGGGGTTATTAACTGGCCTAATTTCAATATTGTTGTGGCTCAGGGAATAGGGGGTGCAAGAAGACAGAGAAGGGTGGGGGGAATGGCTGGTCGCTGGAGCCATCAGAATGCAATTGATCAACAAGGTTCACCACCCTGTAATGGGCGTGCTTTGTGGCGCCCCAACGACAGTCACATCAAGGATCACTGATTACATATGACCACAACACACATACCTTTAGTTTGTGGGAACACCCCCACCCCCCCACATTATCTGTGAAGTGCAATAAAATGAGGTGTGTCCAGAGCCAGAGTTCAGGTGATGCTTGTGTCAACACAGACCGGATGGGTAGTTGGTGGAGACGGAAGACAGGGTTCTGACTCAACGCGTGTTCACGGGTGGGCTGCTGAGCAAGGCCCTCCATCTGCCCACGTTTCGGCCATGCCATCCCCAAAACAAAGGGGGTGAAGGCAGAGTTCTGAAGTTCACGTGACACATGTCAGGCTCTGCGTTTCCACCCGGCTTCCCATGACAGTCAAACAGCACATCCTGTGTTTTGAACACCGGACAGGAAGTGGTGCGGTGGGCGGCGGAGGGAGCTAACATCAGGACACCATTAGTGGCTGATCTGTGGCTGGGCTGACCTGCAGCAAAGGTGGGAAGGGTGTCGTCCTGGGAAATGAGGTGGGCGGGCCCTCTCCTGTCTTCACAGTCTTACTGCCTCTTCAAGGGTCCTGGGGGTGAGCACAGCTCAGGGCAGCTCGGTGCTTTTGGGAGAGAAAGATTCTTCGGCCGGTTGAAACACCATCCACATCTTACTGAATTAGTGCATATGAAAAAAGCTGTGCTAATGAAAAACTGTGCTAATTAGTGTTAATGAAAAAAACTGTGAAAAAGTATGAAAAAAATCAAAATCATCTATCTTACCACCTAGTGATAGCTACGTGAACATTGCTGAACATTGTATTCTTCCTGTACATTTTTCAAAGAGAGATCATAGTTTTAGATCTTTTTTTCATGCAACCTAATTTTTTCCCATTGCCATTTTTTACTTTTCTTTTTTTAAATTCACTTTTGAGAGAGAGGGTGTGAGTGTGGAAGGGGCAGAGGTTGGGGGGATAGAGGATCTGAAGGGGGCTCTGTGCTGACAGCAGAGCCTGATGCATGGCTTGAACTCATGAACTGTGAGATCATGACCTGAGCCGAAGTCGGACGCTCAACGGACTAGTCACCCAAGGGCCCCTTTCTTCATTTTTTTTTTTTAATATTTTTTATTTATTTCTAGGAGAGAGAGAGAGAGAGAGACAGCGTGAGCAGGGGAGGGTCAGAGAGAGAGGGGGAGTCACAGACTGAAACAGGCTCCAGGCTCTGAGCTGGCAGTCAGCACAGAGTTCGACGCGGGGCTCGAACCCACGAACCGCGAGATCATGACCCAAGCGAAAGTCGGACGCTTAACCGACTACGCCACCCAGGCGCCCCCCTTTCTTCATTTTTAATGGCCACATATTTTCCCATCAAGAAGATGTGGCATAACAACCACTTTTTTGAGCCTTTCCAATTTTTCATTAGAGGAAATGAATATCCTTGTAGTGCATCTTCTGCTAAATCATTTCCCTATGCTAGACTGCTAGGATGTTTTTTATAAAGGCTCTATTAGGCTTCTATAAAGGTTTTCCAGCAACGTTTCAATATATCCTCTGACACAACGTAAGAGTGCTCCTCACTAAATCCTTATTGATATGATTATATTTAAGTAAGAGAAATTATTAAATTATTAGGTGAAGGGTGCCTGGGTGGCTCAGTTGGTTGAGTGTCCGACTTCAGCTCAGGTCATGATCTCACTGTTTGTGGGTTTGAGCCCTGCATCGGGCTCTGTGCTGACAGCTAGCTCAGAGCCTGGAGCCTGCTTCAGATTCTGTGTCTCCCTCTCTCTCTGACCCTCCCCTGCTCATGCTGTCTTTATCTCTCTGAGAAAAAATAAAAACATTAAAAAAATTTTTTTTTTAATTATTAGGTGAAATACATAGCTAACCCTATTTTCCTTTCTTGAATTACTGGTCAGGTTGAGTATCTTTCAAGTGCTTCCTGAACACCTGTATATTTTTTGGAGTTGTTTGATCATGTTATATGCTCACTCTTCTCTTTTTCTTATTGGTTTATAAGAATTACTCAGAGGATTTTTCTTCTTTCCCCCTTTTTCTTTAGGGAGTGAAATCAAAGCTCACTTTATCTGATTAAATTCTTTAAACAATCTAGATGAAATGGAAGTTTTAGTATCTGTATAGCTTTATTAATGTCTTCCCTCTGTTCCTCTTTCATAATAATATAAAGAGCAAATCACTTCACAGCAAAATGTAACAACATGGAATTTAAAAATGGATGCAGAGTCTCCTGGAACCAGCCATGTATCACAAAACGAACAATGTCAACTTTTGAACATACAATCACTTTTGTTCATACTTAGCTCAAAGTGAGTAAACAGAATTTTATTCAAACTTTACAAATATCCTTTACATTTATTTAGCCTGAGAGTGAGCGTGAGAAAACCCGACTTGCAGTTGGACTTCACTGCCCAAACAGTTAGCATCGGAAAATAAAGTTGTGAGGGAATAGGCATTTAGCAAACGCAGTTAAAGCCTTGCAATGAACTCTGACGATGAATACTGATACAAACCAAACTTCAACCTGCTCTACATGATCTTCAGGGCCTAAAGGGTACCTATTACCAAATAAGGATGAAAAAAAGGTCTGCAGATGACAAATTATGAAGGTGGGTCCAGAGGCAGAATTTAGTTCAACATTTCTACAGCTGCTGCTTTAGACTACTACTAAAAAACCAACTCCCCAATCCTTAGGATTCAACGTGTACTTGAAAACATGTAGCAGCATGGTACAGTTTAGTTTTATAAATATTAGTGCCTGTAATAAAATATAAAAACAAAGTCTCCCTCTTTTAAGTATTAAGTTTCTGAATGCTCCATTCATCCTTTGGGTTTCAAACCCATACAATGCACTCACATTACACTGCAGATTCGGCCTGGAGACGGAACACTGTGCGTCTGTTGGGGAAGTGGGGGAGCGGCAGGAATGCCAGAGCACGACTTTATAGAAAGTAAACGTAGAAGCAAAAATACTTTCTGAATATATACTGTACATTATGTAAACAAACATTCATAGGAAGAGTCAACACAGGCCAAAATATTGTTTTCTGCGAAATCAGAATCTTCTTCCTTTTAAATCACACGCACACACTGAAGATGTTTTTTGTTAAGAAAAATGGAGCCTGTTCCTATATTTGCTTATGTGCTTCAATATCTTGGAAACAAGTAATTATTACATTCATTTGCTAACGGTCTGTCCTTTTAGTTGGCTGCCTGTTGCAAACAAGGAATACAGAACTGTCACTTCAGTACCTGTTTTCCTTTTAATACTAGCTAAGTTATATATAGAGTTAAATTCATCTGTATCGGTCCATATTCATAATATAAATAGATTAAGTGAAGCAGAGAATTTCAAAATTTGTGCCGGGGGGGAAACTAGTTGATCATTTGTTTCCAGTAAGGCTAGTAGCAAAATAATTACTACAAAGTCAGTCCAAGCTAGTAGTAAACCCCTGATTTAGCAAGCTGAATCAAAGTCTGAAGTTAGGTCATTTTAATTCCTGTAGATTACTGTGCAATTCTAGAATTTCCTATGTAAAAGACAGTGCTGGCGGCATTGACGTCCTGTGATAACAGAATGAAATACTGACTAGGTTTTGAGACGCAGCTACTCTATGAAGGAATGTGAAGGTCTTAGTCATGGTGTCCCAGCAATGTCCTCAGGATTCCCTTAATGAATCCGGAACTAAGAAAGAGAATCCATTAGTCAATAATATTATGAGTCAAAAGCCTAAATGTGAAGCAAGAAATGACAGACCTAAAACCAAAGATGCATTTCCTATTATAACAATACGTAAGGATGTCAAAGCTTTAGGTCAATGTTTTATACCAGCACAGCCCCCTCAAGAAGGAAAGAGCTTAGTCATGACTGTCCATCCCGTTTCAAAGCTTCCAGTCTTTGAAGGAGTGCGTTTCCAAATGCTTCCCGGTAGGCAGGGCTCAGTGTGTCCAGCAAAGAGTAGACTGTTTCATGATAGGGAGTGTGCAAGTGATCATCCACTTGGTCAAAAGCATAGCCTACCACCTACAAGAGAAATGCAACAGTGAATTTAAGGACCAGACGTCATCTCGGTACAGAAAGCAAAAACCAAGTATTTATATGGGCCATTCTGTAGCAACACGATTTCTCCATCAATAGTCAGAACCTGCAGATTTCTTTTTTGTTTTCTTTTATCTTGAGAGGCAGAGACAGTGTGATGGGGGAGGGGCAGAGAGAGAATCCCAAGCAGGCTCCACACTGTCAGTGTAGAGCCCGATGTAGGGCTTGATCTCACGAAACCGTGAGATCATGAGCTGAGCTGAAACCAAGAGTTGGATGCTTAACCGACTGAGCCCCCCGGGGGCCCCTAGAATCTGCTTATTTCTAACCATTCTGAAACACGGGACCACCACCAGCAAAATGCCCTCTTTATCATTCTTTTCTCAAGATGTGTAAGTTTAATTTATCTACTCCTGATCCTATGGGGAACAGAAAAAGGAATGTAGAAAGTGACACAGGACCAGTGTTTCACTTTCATGAACTGGAAAGTGCTTCTATTTAATCCCACGTATATTAAGGTTCACTAATTAAAGGCACATAACAGATAACATATTATCAGTCCATATTTTAAAGATTCAAAAAATTATTTTTTACCTTTTACTTTTTAAACATTTTTTTGAAAAGATCCTATTTTTAAGCAATCTCTATACCCAACGTGCGGCTCGAACTCACAAGCCTGAGATCAAGAGTCATATATTTTTTTGAAGCAACCTCTACAGCCATTGTGGGGCTCGAACTCACAGTCTGAGATCAAGAGTCGCACGCAAATGAGTGAGCCACGTGCCCTATCAGTCCACATTTTCATCCTTCTTTATTTGGACTCTTTTTTTTTTTTAAGTGTTTATTTATTTTGAGAGAGAGAAAGAGGAGGGGCAGAGACAGAAAGGGAGAGAAAGAAACCCAAGCAGGCTCTGCACCATCAGCACAGAGCCCAACTTGGGGCTTGATCTCATGAACTGTGAGATCATGACCTGAGCCAAGACCAAGAGTTGGATGCTTAACCAACTGAGCCGCCCAGGTGCCCCTATTTGCCCCTATTTACTTTTTGTAAAGAGTTCTAAAAGTTGTTGATAGTTTTAATCCTGCTTTATAATTAGTTAAGTTACTAATTTAACATTACAAACATGTTACTTATGTGCCAGGGAAACAAGTGCTCAGGTAGAAGGGGTGCTATTCTGTGCACGTGTTTTCTTTAACACGAGAGCTTTTTCCCCCAATGAAATGAATGCTGGTTCACCAGCATAGTGTAGGGTGAAATTGGTTTTTGTTGACTTGACTAAAGCTCGTGAATTCCGTATATAAACTCTAATTTTTTTATGACATCTATTCAAGTCATAGAAGATGCGAGTTTATGTTAGAAGTGGCCCTGTCGCTGCTTTAAATGAAAAGCAGAGGCAGAGATCTACAGACGACGCGTCCCCCCTCTGCAGAGCCATGGTGTGCTGCGGCACCTTCTACTTCTACTTCTGTGCTGGACTGTAGTCTTACTAGCGGATGGGGATCATGTCTTACTCATGGTCTGATTTCCAATGCCTGACACAGGACAGTTGCTCAGCAAGTTAACTGAGTAAGACTGCAGAAGCAAGTATTTGAATACCCATGTGCCAGGTTTTTGAGGATTCTAGACCTTTCTGCAAGATGTTCATATAATCATCCCCCAAATCCTCTTTAGTTTTCTTTCTTTCTTTCTTCCCCCCACCCCCCTTTCCTGCCCCAGTCTTTAGGTTATAGATAAAGCAGCAATGACTCAGAGAGGAAGAATGGCTCGCCCAAGGTCACTCAAATTCACACTGGGTTCAGACTCTGATCAGAACCCTTCCTATCTTCACATGGCCACCTCAGAATTAATCCATGTAAGATGGAATTAATTTATGCAGGGTCATTTATCTCTATTTTTGATTTGCCTATTTCTTTCTATTTTTTTTCTAAGTGTATTTATTTACTGAGTGAGCGAGCATGTGAGCAGGGAGCAGGGGAGGGGCAGAGAGAGAGGGAGAGAGAATCCCAAGAAGTCTCCAACACAGATCTCAATCCCTGGGATCACGACCAGAGCCGAAATCAGGAGTCAGATGCTCAACAGCCTGAGCTGCCCAGGCGCCCCCGAAGACACATTTGATAAGAGGTGGGAAAAGATCCTCTTAACACAATGGTAGAGAGGATGCCTAGTTCTGGTGGACATATTTAGCTACAGACAAGAAGTAAGTTAAGTTTGGGGGTGATGATCAAAACAAAGTCACACTCTGCAAATCAAATGGTTTTTCTTTTTCAAAAAAGCCCAATTTCCCCATGTTGACTGACAGACTTTAGGAGGAGTAAGAACTCCTAGGGAAAAAGGTTTCCTTACAAAAATCCTGGAGCTGCCTGAGTAGTCTGTTAACACTCCTCTTGCTCCCCAACCCCTGACGTGGTAAAGACAGGAGGAATTTTTTCTTTCCTAAACAGAAAGGCGGCTTACCCTGAGTCCTGCTTCTGTGAGCTCCAAGCAGTATCTGTTCCTCTCTCTCGTCTCCACGTTGATGTAGGCCACGTCATCGGCACAGCGCAAGGTTTTCGAGACAAACATGTTGTTAACAGCAAAGAGAACATCGTTCACGACTGCTTCGGCTTCTAGCTTCATGTCTTTCATGTCAGCTTCTTCAAAACCATTAAGCTCTGCATCCTCCTCAAATCCTGACATGCTGCTTAGCTCCATGGGATTACAGCCCGTTTCCATTCTGCAAAGAAGAGGACGTAAAACATGTCTATTGACAGACATTCCAAATATTACTGTTTGGTTAAAAGTAGCCATGCCTCAACGGAAAACACTAACTGGTTAATAACAACGTTTAGGGAAAGTACTGTCGAAAATCATTTTGGCGGGGGCGCTGCGGAGTCTCAGTGGGTTAAGGGTCCGACTTCAGCTCAGATCATGTTCTCATGGTTCGTGGGTTCGAGCCCTGCGTGGGGCTCTGTGCTGACGGCTCGGAGCCTGGAACCTGCTTCCGATTCTGTCTCCCTCTCTCTGCCCCTCCCCTGTTCATGCTCTGTCTCTCAAAAATGAATAAGCCTTAAAGAAAAATTAAAACCATTTTTGATTGTTTTTCACAGACATGTACAGATTTTCAAAAAAAGATCTAAGTTTTCCACCCCTCCCCCGAAGGTGAATTCCCATGGTGATGCTAATTTAGAACATGAGCTTTTAGCTATTGCAAACAATGTCTCAGTAAAAATCCTAGTACATTCTTCTTTCTAATGGGTAAATATTTTTCTAGCTCAGAGGTTTAAAATTGGAATTGCTGAGTCAAAGGGTATGCCCATTATAATTTTCAACAGATACTGCTGATTCACCTTCAAAAAAAAAAAAATAAATAAAAAGGCTTGACAGATCTATACTCTGCGAATAGAATATGAGGGACTATACTCTTTTTCACTACCCTCTTTACAATCATTTCTAATATTTACCCATTTGAGAGGCAGAATGATGCCTTACTGTTTGAGTATGTATTGTTTTGATGAAATATCTTTTTGGATATTTACAGGGTATTCTTAGTTCCAAGATCATACAGCTGTAAAAAACAGAAATGGAAATGAACTCCAATCATCTGAAATCAGAATTCAAATTCCGACCTACTACAGTACACTACTCTCGGTGGCTCCTTTCATGACTTCTGGATTGGAGTTTTGCTTAAGAAGGCCTTCCCCATCTGATGATTATATTTTAAAAAGTTCTTAAGCTGTTTTCTGAGTTCTCATTCTCTGTATACACAGTTAACTCTCTGTTACAGCTGGAATTTCTTTTGGTGTAGCTTTATTTTTGAAATGGACAGCTTACTGCCCTGATAACATTTATTGAATGACTCATGTTTTCACTACTTCTTTGAACTGATCCAAAGATTATAGTTTGAAAAATATTATTTCTCAGGCTGACTCAATCCAACATCACTGCCAGGCTGCTATGTGGCTGTAGCTTCTCTTCTGTGACTGGGGTGGCAGGTGAGTATTCTTAAAATTTGAATTGTACGAATGAGGAAAGTTCATGAGTGTCAGATTGCATTGGAAGGTAGGGAGGCTTCTTCAGAAGAAAATATGGTTTCTTTTTACCCACTGGATTTAAAAGTCAGTTAAGATTTCATTTCTCTGAACTAGCATCCATTGTCCTTAATATAGTATGACTCTTCAACTGGTTTTGAACATTTATATAATTTTTCTACTTTCTTAAAAATTCCATCTCTTTCTCTACAGGTACCTCAATTACGGATGTCAGACATAATAATCATTACATAAAAAAGATATTTATATGAGAAAGCTTGGCAAGCTTTTAAAGCAAGAGTCTAATTCATTGCAATTAGGACTTTAGTGTTGGAGAAAGAAAGACGAAGAACCCAACACCAGAATGGAAGACAGCCTCACAGGTCAGTAAAGTTAGTCATCAAACTGTTATGTAATAATTAGCACCAATGGACAAAAAAGAGACAACTTTCTTAACTGCAACCTTTTAGAAGAGTTTCTCCTAAAATGTCTACATGATGCATAAAATAGACACACTCAGAACTTCTGGTGATGATATATATACGTGAAAACGATACATTTTAGTATTGAAGCAGTTTCAAGATATCACAATCTATCTTTTGTTGCTTATAACAGGTTCTTGCTTATGATCGATACCCTTTCCCTTTCCTAATAGCACCCAGATTTTCTAAGGGGGATCACAACACCTCCTTCCCCTACCGAGTCAAGTAACCAAACAACGTGAGATTGACTCCAGTCCTGGCTAAAGACTGTCCCAATCAACATACGAATTCTTCCCAGTCACTTTGATCCAGAACAGTTTGAGTGCACAGCCCACTGTTCCCGATGGCCTTCTCGAGACGGGGAAACTATCCCAAGCAGGATCTTGACAATGAGGAGGAACAGAGCTAAGAGATACATAGGGAAATAGAGCTAAAGTCCTGACAGCTGTCCAACCTTCACAGTTTTCAGTTACTGAAACCAACAATTTCCCATTCTTTAACTGAAAGCCTAACTGATTTAGAAGCCTACCCAAAATGAAAAGCAGTGATTGGTCTAGCTCTTCAACAGTTTTTTATTTTTATTTTTTATTTATTTGGGGGGGGGGTGAGGGGCAGAGAGAGACAGAGAAAGAGAATCCCAAGCAGGCTCCATGCTAAGCCTGGACGTGGGGCTGATGTGGGACTTCCCACGAACCATGAGCTCATGACCTGAGCTGAAATCAGAAGTTGGACGCTTAACTGACTGAACCACCCAGGTGGCCCTACCTCTTCAACAGTTTTATAAAAGTATAGAGATTTTAAAACTGGAGCTCTGGGGTCTTCAGATGGAGTCTTGCAAGCCTTGCATTAGGCTCTGCATTGATAACATGGAGCCTGCTTGAGATTCTCTCTCTTCCTCTCTCTTTGTTCCCACCTTGCACATGCATGTGCGTGATCTCTCTCTCTCTCAAAATAAATAAACTTTGGAGTGTCTGGGTGGCTCAGTTGGTTGAGCATCCGACTTCAGTTCAGGTCATGATCTCACAGTCCATGGATTTGAGCCCCACGTTGGGCTCTGTGCTAACAGCTCAGAGCCTGGAGCCTGCTTTGGATTCTGTGTCTTCCTCTCTCTCTGCTCCTCCCCCACTCACTCTCTGTCTCTCAAAATAAAATAAAGATATAAAAAAATTTAAAAAAATAAATAAACTTAAAAAAACAAAAAATTGAACTGATATTTTGGTGCCTGTCATGCCCAAAGTGCTTAACAAAAGCTCTGTAAAATGAATCAGTATGTGTCCGCATTAGTTTCCTATTGCTAATGTTAACAAGTTACTGCAAACCCAGTGGCTTAAAACAACACAAATTTATTTTCCTATAATTCTTGAAGAGAGAAATCTAAAATCCAAGTATCAGCAGGGCTGCAATACTTCTGGAACCTTCAGAGGAGAATCTGTTTCCTTCCTTGCTTTTTCTAGCTTCTAGAAGTTGCCTGTATTCCTTGGCTCATGGTCCCTTCCTGTACCTTCAAAGCACATCGCTCCACCTTCTGGTTCTGCGATAATACCTTCTTTTTCTGACTCCTGACATGGGCGCCCCTCTTACCAGGAGCCTTGTACTTATACTGGGCCTACCTGGACAGCCCAGGATATGTCCCGGGCCCAAGGGCCTAAAGTTAATCAAACCTGCAAAGCTCCTCTTATCATATATTCAGTTTCCAGGGATTACGACATGGACATCTTTGGGGGCCACTGTTCTCTCTACCACAGTGTCTATACCCGATGAGCAGGAAAGGAGTATGAAGATAGTCCAAGAGACTTCATTCCCTGACTTTCTTTTTTTGGAAGTTACAATTTATTTTTAATATACACATTGGATGGACAGTGTGAAATACTAGGCAGTTTAAACAGTTCTCTTAAAAGAAGGCTCAGAGCTCTTGCCAAGCTTAGTGTTTTCTTTGGAAAGGTTCCTTAATTATAGTTCACTCTTTGTATCCTGTAACTCCAGTACCATGATCACAGGAAAATACTGGAGATGCAGTTTCAACTAAAGGAACCATCTCAAGGCTGGCAAGGGGTTTATAAGTTATTCTGGATCAAGAGCTCTCTCCAACTACTGGATTCTGGATGGCGAATGGCCTATCCAAATAGATCCTCACGTGAGGGGATAGAACGCAGAGGCAAAAAACATGAAGTCAGCGGGTGGTGACAGTGTGGGAGCTACAGCATAGACCACGGAGCGACGGGGTGGCTTTATCACTGGGACTCTAAGGAAATGGTTTCTACATTTCTGATTATGCATTCCTGTAACTAAAAATACTCTGAGCAGACACCCTGTTTGTTATATGTATACTTATATACGTATTCTACAATTAAAATATTAAAAACACATAAATATGAATTTAAACAGGGGAAGGTAAAATAGGAACTGTAAACTATTTTCTCTTACTTCTCAGTGGATTATCCTGTGCACCTGGCTGTGGGGGCCTGCGCCACAGAGGATGAGGTAATGCATGTCCATTTTGGGGAAGGGACGCTACTAAGATCACTCTTCACCTTAGAGCCACAGTCTGGTTACCAGAATGGCTCTCATCAATATGAATCTGGTAAAAACCTTTGGTTTCCCTTTCTGCGGGCAAGGCAATTTATCATCATGTAGCAATTCTAGACCCAAAAGAACTTTGTGCAATGACAGAAACCATCCCTTATCAGTAGGATACAGCGGCTACCAGCAAATTTGGTTAGAGCGACTGAGGAACTGAATTTCAAATTTATTTAATTTGCATTCATCTAAGTTTAAATAGTGAGTGGCTCCTGTAGCAGAAAGCATAGGTATAGACCTTTGTAAATACTCATGGATAACATGATTCACATGACGATGAACTGAATTTATATTATGGCTGAAAAAAACCCAGTAGATACAAGAGTACTAAATTAAACTTATTTTATATAGGAGAAGCAAGATTGAGAAATACATGTTAGAAAAAATATTTTGAATCTTAGCTACTCTATGGAGGATAATTAACCATCTTATTTCTTTTTTTATTTAAAAAATTTTTTAATGTTTTTTAAAAAATTTATTTCTGAGAGAGAGAGAGAGAGAGAGAGAGAGAGAGACAGCATGAGCAGGGGAGGGTCAGAGAGAGAGGGAAATACAGAATCTGAAACAGGCTCCAGGCTCTGAGCTGGCTGTCAGCACAGAGCCCGACATGGGGCTTGAACCCACGAACCATGAGATCATGACCTGAGCCAAAGTCAGATGCTTAACCGACTGAGCCACCCAGGCGCCCCTAACTACTTTGTTTCAAATGGAAAAAAGTAATAGATTATTTATGTTTTGTGATCTTGTCAATTTGGATTCTAAGTTTATTAATCAAGTATCATAATTCACTGTGCATCTATATGTAATCCAGCGTTTTTCTAAGCATCAGAATACTAATTAAATGTGTCTACTGGTAGCTTACAGCTTAATCAGACAAGCACATGAAATACGTACATAAATATTAACACTATGCACATGCATCATAATTATAACCTAAGAAATATACTTAATTGTGAGTGGCAGATAATTAGAGAAAGCAATAATATGTTTTTGTCCTACTACAAACTTACCACTAAACTTGGATGAACTTGGGCTGGCCATGTAACCTCACTGGACTCATGGTTTTCTCACCTATAAAATAAGGGGAATAGACAAGAAATTCTTTACTGCTCTTGAGAGCTCTGACATTCTGTGATCTATGATATAATTGTCAGTTATGATGGGGCTTGACTTTGACTCATGGAACAGGTCAGTCAAAACTGGTCTTGAATGAGCACGGATGAAGTTATGGGTAAAGCAGATAGGACTTGAGAGCTGTGAAGAATTCTTCATAGGGAGCAGAGCATAAGCAAAAGTCGGCATGGGGTGTGGCAAGAATTCTAAGGAGACTAGCCTAACTAGTCTAATACAAGGTCAATGTTAGGAGGTTAATACACGCAGATGGCCCAATTTGGAGGGTGCTGAAACCCAGATAGGAAAATTTGATTTTGATATAATAGCTTTAAGCTCCTAAGAATGGTAAAAATGTCTTTACATTTAAAGTGGCTTTCTTGGGGCACCTGGGTGGCTTAGTCGGTTAAGCGTCCGACTTTCGCTTAGGTCATGATCTCGCGGTTTGTGGGTTCGAGCCCTGCGTCGGGCTCTGTGCTGACTGCCAGCTCAGAGCCTGGAGCCTGTTTCGGAGTCTGTGATTCCTTCTCTCTCTGACCCTCCCCTGCTCACGCTGTCTCTCTCTCTCTCTCTCCTAGAAATAAATAAAACATTTTAAAAAATAAAAAAAAATAATAAAGTGGCTTTCTTTTAGGCAGCATATAATTTGGTCCTTTTTTTTAATGCAATCTGACAATCTCTACCTCTTAATTGCAGTGTTTAGACCATATACATTTAACATTACTATAATTATTGATATGGTTATTATCTATCTCATTTGTTTTCTCTTTATGCCATCTGTACTCTCTCCCTTTTCCTTATTTTTCTGCCTACTTTTAGACTGACCACTTTTTAGGATTCTATTTTATATCCTTTGGTGGCTTGAGAACTAGAACTCTTTGTTATGTGTTTTTAGTGGGTACTTTAGTTTATACTATACATCTTTAGTTGTCATCATCTACCTCAACCTTGAAGTGATATACCACTTCATGTAGAATATAAGTACTTTACAAGAGTATACTATGTAGCCTTTATGCAACTTCTACATGTTTGAAACTTTATAATGATACTTTAAACTACTTTTGTTTTAAACAGTTGATAATTTTTCAGAGATTTAAGTAATAAGGAAAAAGTATTTTATATTTAACCATATAGTTACTACCTCTGGTGTTCCACATTCTTTCCTGTTTATCTACATTTGCATGTGATTTGTATCATATTCCTCTGCCTGATAGATTTCCTTTAACAGTTCCTGTAGTGCACATCTGCTGTTGATGAAATCTTTGAGCTTTTGTGTATCTACACAAGTCTTCCTTTCACCTTCATTTTTGAAAGACAGTTTTGCTGGGTAGAGAATCCTAGGTTAATAGGGGTTTTCCCCCCTTTCAAGACTTTAAAGACGTTTCTCGACTATTTTCTTGCTTACATGATTTCCTAGGAGAAATCTGATGTCATGTTATCTCTGCTCCTCTTGGTGTAGTTTTCCTCGTTTCTTTGGCTTGGGGTTCTCTGAGTCTCTTCCATCTGTGGGTTTATACAGTTTTTAACAAATTTAGAAAAATCTGGGACTTCTTTTTTTAAGTTTTTATTTGAGAGAGTGTGAGCATGCACAAGTGGGGGAAGGGCAGAGAGGGAGGGAGACAGAGAATCCCAAGCAGGCTCTGCACCGTCAGGGCAGAGTCCGACACAGGGCTTGAGCTCACAGATCATGAGATGGTACCTGAGCTAAAACCAAGAGTGGGATGTTCAACCGACTGAGCCACCTTGGCGCCCTGTGGCCATTATTTCTTCAAACACTGACCTGTTCCTCCTCTCTCTGGGGACTCCACGATTTAATGAACATTAGTCTAAGTAAAGTTGTCCTACTCTGTTTTTCAATGTTTTTAGTCTCTTTCTCTTTGTGCTTCACTTTGAATAGCTTCTGTTGCTATGTCTTCAAATTCACTAATCTTTTCTTTTGCTGTACCTAATCTCTTCAACTTGAGTCTTAAAAAAAACATACTTTCCATGTCTGTACTTAATTTGCTCAGTCTTTAGCTTTTTAAACATACAAAATAGCGTTTTAATGTCCTTGTCTACTAATTTGCAATTTCTGGGTTAATTTCAATTTGTAGATTTTCTTACTATAGGTCGTATACTGCTGCTTTGCATGCCTGGTAATTTACTGGATGCCAGACAATGTGTATTTTACCTTGTACAGTCTTGGCTATTTTAATACTCCTATAATTATTACTAAGCATTCTTCTGGAATATAGTTGTCTGGAAACAGCTTGATCCTTTGGCATCTTGCTTTTAGACTTTTTAAGGCAGTATCAAAGCTATACTTCATTTCTGGTTAATTCTGACCCAACTGTAGAGTCAAAAACCTTCCCAAAAATTCTGATGTCCTATGGATTATGAGGTTTTCCATTTTGGGTGACAGGAACAGGAGCACTCCCGGCCCTGTTTGAGTTCTGAAAAGTCCTCAAGTTCTTTTGGGTGGTTTCCTCACACCTACGTGTTGGTCAGTATTCAGCTTCAGCCAGAAGGAGGATCCTCCGTATATTTCCACAGCTCTTGCTTTCCGCGAAGCTCTTTACTTTCTAGTACTCTCTGCTAGTTGGCTTGGCCTTTCTGAACTCCTCAGTCCATATCCTCAGTTCAGGGAGACTACTGGGCTCTACATGGGTTTCTTCTCCTGGTAACATGCCTAGAAATTCTCTCGAGGCAATATGCTGCGGCAATGGGCTCACCTCATTTGTATCTTGCCTCTCAGGGATCAGTGTCCTTCACTGTATGATCCCCCAAACTCTTAAAAGTCTTTTTTCTCCCATATATTTTTGCCCATTTTCTTATCGTTTCAGACGGAAGGGGAAATCTGGGCCCTGTCCCTCTGCCTTTGCCAGGAGTGCAGATCCCAGTAGCCAGTATTGAGCTAACTTTGTGATCTTATTTCTCAGTTTTTCCTTCAGTGATTTTGGACTCTCCCATATATATATATTAATATTTAAGTAATCTCTATACTCAACACGGGACTCAAACTCGTGACCCCAAGGTCAAGAGTTGTATCGTCCACCAACCAAGCCAACCAGGCACCCCTTTCCCGTATTACTTTGATGAACTTTACCACCTTGCCAGTTCATTAATGAATTAAATATATTAAAAAATTTTGAGTATAGTTCACACACAATGTTAGTCTCAGGTGTATACCTTACTGATTTGACAAGTTCGTACCTTGTGCTGTGTTCACCACAAGTATGCCTACCGTCTGTCCTGTTACGTAGCTATTACAACATCATTAACTGTATTCCTTAGGAGGCTGTGTCTTCTATTCTCATGACTCACTCCATGGAGTTAAAAACGTTTCTGACACATGCTTACTATGTTTGTATAAGACCCATGTTTCAAACTTAAAAATCATTATTTTGACACTACAGGTGACCCTTGAACAATATAGGTTTGAAATGCATAGTTCCACTTTTATGAAGATTTTTTAAACAAAGTATTGCACTGTAAATTTATTTTCTCTTCTTTATAACTTTCTTAATAACATCTTTTCTCTACTTTATTGATAAAAATACTGCACATAAATGCATGTAACATACAAAATATATGTTAACTGACAGTTCATATCATTGGTACAACTTCAGGTCAACAGTAGGGTATCAGTTAAGAGTTTGGGGAATCAAAAGTTCTATCTGGATTTTCAACTACATAACGGTTGGTGCCTGCATTGTTCAAAGTTGAGCTGTACTTTCAGACTTTTAATTCTTCAAAATCCAGCTCAGACACATTTATTTCAGGATTCTATATCTTGATCTCAAGAGTGAATCATTACGTCCTTCTTCCGTTGCATCAGTACTGCTGCAGGTTTTCATACTTCATTGCAAATCAGAGCCCATGATGTCTATATCACCAGCAAAGCATCTCCCATAAGGCAGGTCTTCTCTGAATATACATATATTTTTTTATTTATAATCTCTACACCCGTGGGGCTCGAACTCACGATTCTGAGATCGAGAGTCATGTGCTCCACTGAATGAGCCAGCCAGGTGCTTCTTTCCTGAATATTTTCTGAATAAACAAAAGAAAACATTCTAACTCTCTGCTTCTCAAGCTGGGATACTTGGCCCTGGGACAAGGGGCACACAAAGCCACAGGATAAACACTGTAGGCATTCCCCCCAAATACATGTCACTGTGATAGTAACATATTATGGAGTAGGATGCAGAATTGCCTAAGACTTTAAAGCACATGGAGGTCTTAAGCCATACCCTCTTCAGCTTATGCCTCGAGATCCCTAGAGCTTTCTTTGCTTCTGATAAAAAATATTTGAGTGAAAAGTAAAAGAAATACCACCCTAACCTTAGAAATTAAGTCTAAAGCTTAAAATTCCAGGAACCGGGACTAGCTAGGCGTACATTAATGAGTAGAGGTGGAGGCTAGTAGAAAGGTAGCCGGTTAGTATGCAGTCAGACCTCCCCCACTCGTTAGGATACTCTGTTTTGAAAAAAGCTAAGGTAATTACTCATAGCTCTCACTCCAGCTGTTGGTATGGTTTGGGACCTTATGGTAGTGTTTTTGGAAGATGCATGAAACTGGTTATCAAGATACTGATTTCTAAGTCCTTTATTCCCAACCTCTTAATTTCTTATCTTCTAATTCTTCTGTGGCAGAAAGGAAATGTATTATGTTTGCAATCAGACAAACGTGTTTTGAAAATGTGATATGTTGGAAAGTCCAAGGCACAGAAGCAGAAACATTCTTCTTAGAGAAACCAAGCTATTGAGTAGCAACTGGTAGCTTCAGTTTCAAGAGGAACGAGAGGTTTGAATTTACCTGTTTCTCAAATAAGTGTTTTGAAAGTAAAGGTGAATAAAATTGATTAATTATAATTAGCAACGTGCAGAAATTAGCCAAAGCTAAAGCTAGTTAAATCTTTATTTTCTGTCAACACATAACATTTTATGTGTTTTCAATAGCTCTAAGATGTATGTGTGTTTTGCAATTAAAATCAGAATCTTTTATAGTATTACAAATATATAGTATTTTATTAAAAATTTTAATGTTTACTTATCTTTAAAATTTTTTTAATGTTTTATTTATTTTTGAGAGAGAGATCATGAGTGGGAGAAGGGCAGAGAGAGAGACAGACAGACAGAATCAGAAGGAGGCTCCAGGCTCTGAGCTGTCAGCACAGAGCCCTACATGGGGCTCGAACTCATGAACATGGAGATCATGGCTTGAGCCAAAGTTGGATGTTTAACGGCCTGAGCCACCCAGGAGCCTCACAGTATTTGTAATTCAAATAAAAATGGCCTATTTTCCCATTTATACACTGATTCATAAAATTAGTCTGCACCCCATTTCCAACAATGACAGAGACACATATATACAACTGAGTAATAACAAATCAAGCCAACAGAATTGTACCGTGCTTTTGTTGATTATGGAGAGAGCTAACAGTTAAGAAATATACGGATAGTATTAATTTGAGAAGCCTTTTAAACTGTAAGCAAGCATCAACACTATACCCCTGTAAATAACCTTTCCTTCAAAACCAGAAACTGTAAATGAAATCCTAAGAAAAGACTCAAATATCAAATGCTTAAAAAAATCCTCCTAGCATTAGGTTGTTTCCATGTAATCCTCTAGGTTACACAGAGGATTTGGTCCTATACTTAATATAAAGTACAGTATAAGCGAAAGAAAAGAAATCAATATCTAAGGAGATATAAAATAGAAAACATTTCTGCTTTCCATTTCAACTCTAAATTGGCTCTCTACCAGGTTCTGAGCAACATTCCATTGCCAGCACCTTCAAAAAATTGGAATACCTCACGGGTGCTCTCAGTTATTCTGGGAGATTTGCATCACCTTGTCTAAAGTTTCCAAAATGATTCCTTATAACATCATACATCAATTATTTAGGAACAAGCTCTTACTTCATCTGTTGGTGTTCTGGAGGATTTATGAACTGGTTATCAAGCTATTTATCCCTAAATTGTTCATTCTCTACTTCATTTAGTTGGCTTTGCTGTGTTTTGTCACAAATTTACAGCATCAAAGAGCTGAAAAAAGACTGTAGATTTGTCCTTGATGATAAAACACCGTTCCTATAGACAGCATGGCTAACAAATAGAGGCGGCATCATTTCAAGGGCAGTATTCCGAGTTCTAAGTTTCACTTTGAGAGTCTGACTTTACGGCTGACATTGCAACAATTCACAGAGGGCTAGACTGCAGTATCTTAATCATGATTGCTTTCATTTCATTTTCAGTCTAGAAAATCCTCTCGATGTGAACAAGAAGTGGCCAGGACGATGTGGTGGTTAAAGGGTCTTGAACAGGGACAGAATCTGAGTTCTACTCTGAGACTTGGGGCAAAATACTTGAATCTCTCTAGTCACACTGTTCCTTCTTCTCTAAAAGGAAGCTAACCACAGCACCTACTTAAAGGGATACCGCAAGTACTAAATGAGGGAGTATATGGTAAGTGCTTAGCATGGTGCGAAGCTCAGAAACAGTATCTGTCAATTATTATATATTAAAAAGATCGTTAAAGACCTGACCCTGAAACTCAAGCCACTTAACTCTGAGTCTGGTACTTCCGACATCACGTAAAGTGCTGCGGCTGCTGCTGTCTCGTGCAGCTCCCAGAACCACGGAACATGGGAGCCCTACGGCCAACATTCCTCTTCCCTCAAGTGCAAATCTCAAAAGGCCAACAGCATTTCATCCACCTCCCTTTTGCTTCACACGTTAACGTGGATTTCTCTGAAGGATGTATGTAGCTATGGTGTGCAGCTTCTAACCTGTCACTTCAAAGCCTTTTACAGAATTTTTTTTTATTAATTTTTTTTTAAAATTTATTTCTAGGAGAGAGAGAGAGAGAGAGAGAGACAGCGTGAGCAGGGGAGGGTCAGAGAGAGAGGGAGTCACAGACGAAACAGGCTCCAGGCTCTGAGCTGGCAGTCAGCACAGAGCCCAACGCGGGGCTCAAACACATGAACCGCGAGATCATGACCTAAGCGAAAGTCGGACGCTTAGCCGAGTAAGCCACCCAGGCGCCCCCTTTTACAGAATTCTTAAAAAGTCGACAGTGTTTCTGCACTTCCCTCATTTAAATAGCACCAGGGGTTAACATTTTGTGATGCCTTCCGTCTTGTATGAAAACGCCAACATAGCACTGAGATTTAGGGTGAATTCATACCCTATTTGAGCTAAAGATATAATAATGCTACATCCTAAGCCTTAACATTTATGCTGAATTTCTCCTAGAAAGCATAGAATGTACAAGGCAACACCCTTAACACTCAAAGGGAGCATGTAGGTTGCTGTAAAATCTTCCGATTTTTATTTTCCTTTACCGATTGAAATTTCAGGCATTCCTCAGACAGCCTGAAGGCAAGTCTATATTCCAAAGGAAGTCACCTATCATTTGGACTTGAAAGAAGTCAACTGGGGGCGCCTGAGTGGCTCAGTCAGTTGAGTGTCTGATTTTGGCTTAGGCCATGATCTCACAGTCTGTGAGTCCGAGCCCCACGTCAGGCTCTGTGCTGGCAGCTCAGAGCCTGGAGCCTGCTTCAGATTCTGTCTCCCTCCTTCTCTGCCCCTCCCCCACTCATGCTCCCTCTCTCTCTCTCTCAAAAATGAATGTTAAAAAATTTTTTAAAAAAAGAAAGAAGTCAACTGTATCCATTGACCAAAAGTCCAGTTCAAATCTTCCAAGGCCTATTCTAATTCCCAGCCAGATGAGATCCCACTTTTTCATCGCTTTGTTTATACTCCTTTGATGCCAAATATAATTATTACTCATACACATATTTTACTTATCATCTTAAAAATATACCCAGAATCTAACTGCTTCTTCCTACCTTTACCACTTCTACTCTAGTGCAAGCCACTGCCTTCTGCTGCCCGGATTACTGCAATACCTCCCTCTACCTGGTCTGGCCTTCTCTCCTTCTGTCCTCCCACGTCCACACTCCAGTTAGCAGGGACCTGTGGACACTTACGCCAGATCACGTCACTCCTCTCCTCTAACTCATTCACCCACCCCGAGGGAAAGGCCAAACTCCTCACGGGGCTCTGTAATGCCTGCCTCCACTCCAGCCCCCAGCTTCTACTCGTCTTCGCTCGCTGCTGATGTTCCCTGATTTCGTCAAGCAAGCCCTTGCCAGGGGGTCTGAACATGCTGTTCCCCTACCCTGGGAAACAACTCTTCGGGGTAGTCCCATGCCTTGCTCCTCACTTTCTCCAAGTCTCTTAAAACATCGCCTTACTAAATAAGTCAGGCTTTCTCTTACCCCTCTACGCAAAAGTGGTAAGTCTCTTCCCTCTTCATTCTCTTTATATCACTCTATTTATTTTTTTTCTACAGCACTTACCGGCACATTGCATACCATACACTATTTAATTACTGTTTCCCTTCCTTTCAATAAAACGTTAAGCTCCATGAGGCCAAAGACTTAATCTGTTCACTGCTGCATCCCCAGCACCGAGAACAGTCCCTGGCATAGGGCACTCAGTAAATCAATACTTACTGAATACAGGAATGGCCCTTTCACTATACAACACAAACTCCTTGGGTTCTTTTCCACCTTTTCCACAACCTCAACTGCGGAGACCTTGATTTAATGGGCCCTTAACAGATAATTCCTGAACGAATGAAGAGCCAGGGAACTGAAGTTACTGAGACTGCTTGGGGCAAGTCTACAAAGAATGAGGGGAACCAGCAATCCAAGCCGCTAAGTACAGGAGATAACCCTCTGGTTCTCAAACGAAAAGGTGGTTGTGAAAAAGGGGAGCTGCTCTCATCTGTCAACATTTCGAGGCTGTCTCGGTGTTTCTAAGGCATTTGTGCAAGTTAACGCACGTATCCGTGAAATCTCCTTAAACCGGCCGTCTTAATTAAACCGGATGTATCGCGGCTCTGCTTAGGTTCGTCCCCCATTTCCAGCTCTGCTAGTGTGGGGTCTAACCCCGGGCATCGGCCTCCAGGACCCCGATCACCCGCACGCAGGCCTTTCGGGGTTGACGAAGTTCACGGCCGCCTCGGCCTCTGCAAGGAGTTTCCCCCTAAATGAAGGCGGAAATACGATTGCGCAGATTCCCAGAGCAGCACAAGTACTTCGCCCGGGTTTCCGCGGGGTCCGGAGGCTCTGGCAGCGGTCAGAGAGAGCAGTTCTGCCCACAGATGCCTCCCAAACTCAAGTTTCCCGGTCGCCGGTGCAGCACAAACCGCACGAAGGCAGCGCTCGGGAAACTGCGAGCCGCTAGCCAAACTGTACCGAGGACGAGGCTTTGGAAACAATACCAGAAAGAGGCGGGGGACGCAGAACTTGCTGACAATGGGCACCGGTCAATACCGGGGGCGGGAAGGACGGGGAGATGCCGCAGCCCTCCGCTTGGGGTCCGCGGAGCTCCCAGCGCTCGTTTCCGGGGTCGGGGTCCCGGGTAACCGGACGGCCCAGGCCAAACGCACCCCCAGACCCCTGTCAACTCGGACACCGGGCCCCTTCCTCCGTCGCCCCCCACGGCCCGGCCTGCTGCGCTGCGTCCCGCTCGCAGGGCCCCTGGGCGACCCCGAGCGCCTCACGACGACCGCCCGTCCGCATCCAGCCCCGGGACTGCTCACCTGCGCGCGCCCGGCGTCCACCTCTTCCTTCCTCCCGGGGCGTCTGGAGCGGCCCCGCGGCGCCGTCCCGCCTCCCGCCCTCGCCCCGCCCCGCCCCCTCGGAGCCGGAACCGCTCCCTTCAGGGCCCTTCTCCCCGCCTCCTCAGCCCTAGTGTGGCGTCACTTCCGCCAGCGACCGGGCGCGCGCAGCGAGCGTGGGTCTCGCGAACGCGCCCGGAGCGTCCCGGAGCCGGGAGCGTGCCTCGCCGATGACAACAAATTCGACGCGCGGCGGCGGCGGCGGCGTCCGCCTCAGTACCTGCCTCAGGCCCTGCCGCCTCCCCGCGTGCCCTCTTGCATCCCCTCTCCGTGCCGACTAGGATCCTCCCGGAGGCCCGCCGGGCCCGGGGCGACGGGGACTCCCTCGCGCCTGGTCCCCGCCAGGCCTAGCGCGAGCGACGCGGCGCCGGCGATGGGGTCGCCCTGAGGGACGCCCGGCGCCGAGCGGCCATGGAGGGGCCGTCCCGGGCTTAGGCCCCGCCGCGGACCGGGACGCCGCCGCCGCCGCCGCCGCGGCCTGGAGCCGGAGCCTGGGCCGCAGGGCCGGAGTCGCCGCCCGCAGCCCCCGCGGGCCCCGCGGCCAGCCGTCACCATGCCTTGGCCGTTTTCGGAGTCCATCAAGAAGAGGGCCTGTCGGTACCTTCTGCAGCGGTACCTGGGCCACTTCCTGCAGGAGAAGCTGAGCCTGGAGCAGCTCAGCCTGGACTTGTACCAGGGCACCGGCTCCCTCGCCCAGGTCCCCCTGGACAAATGGGTAAGAGTCGCCGGCCGGTCGGGCCCCGCCGCCCTCCTTGGGGCGCTTTGAACGGTGTCCCCCAGGACTGGCGACGTGCCGCGCGTCCCTGGGAACCGTCGGGCGCCAAGTGGAGTGTGGCAGGGACTCAGAGAAACGTGTTCAAGCGTTTAACCCGTGTCTAGCAAGTTTGCGGCCCCCAGTCACGTGTTTCCGAAACTTAACAGACGGGAACGAGTCTCCACGGAGGGCGGCAGTTGCGTCAGTGGTTTTGGGGGGCGGGGGAGGTTTTGACGCTGGCCGCACGGGGTCCCTGGGAGGGGGTGACCAGTCCTGTCCCTGGGGTAGCAGGGGGCGCGGGCCTCTGTGGCAAACCAATCCCGTTTCGTGGGACCACACTCTGGAGGGATGGGGAGGACCTTCGGGGATGTCAGAACTCGGAGTTACTCCTTTGTTTTTTTCGGGGTGCGCTGCTTGAACCCCGCGGGCAGTCATCTGCGAGGAAGGTCAGGTGAAGGCCTCTTGCTTGATGGTGCGTCTACAGGGCCCCCTCCCCTGCGAGTGGCCGTGGGGCCCCGGCTGGTGCCGTGCACTTATGCTTATTCGCTTCACGTGACAGACCGCGAACAGGTGTTGCAAAAGCGCTGAAGCTGCGAGTGTCAGACCTTTAAAAAAAAAAAAAAAAAAACAAAACAAAACAAAAAAAACCTGTGGTCGGCTTGTCATCCCGAGGCTGTGAGTTGACTCCGTGGGTCTTACAGGTGCTTCACGTATAAACTCCCCACGTTCAGATGTACCTGCATTTGTATGCTGAGGACATAGTCGTCTCCTTACACTGATTTCAGCCGGGGCTTGAACACGAATGGGACCTGGGACAGCTTTTCTTCTTCCCCCAACCCTTTACGTGTTGCGCCAGGGTTGGCTCCTGGGAGTTTGAATCCTATACAGGTGACATTTAGGAAATTATGTGCATAGGTGACTTTCCGGTCATAGTTGTGCAAAACAAAAGGAAACCCCTCCCCCTCATATAAGCTATGTAAAAAAACTTAAGTGCTTTTTTCTTTTATATAAAAGTATTTTAAAGACTAGTGACTTTAGCCGCAGAAACCTGAAAAATTCAAATTACAGTTAATACCTTATTATGACCCTTCAATTATTTATATTAGTATGAATAAACATTTTTTTTTTCAGTGAGTAGATGACTTAACTAGGCAGAGTACAAATGATAGTGGAAAGAGCCTTGGTTTGAGTAGACCCAGCCCTGCATCTGGGTAGATCACACCAGCCCAGGCTGCCAGTTAGCTAAGTGACCGTGGACACAGTCATTCACCTGAATTTAGTAAACATTCATGGGGTATACAGTCCATGGTAGGCACTGGGTCAGGGTACAGTAGTGCTGTAGTCCTTAGCGGAAGATAGGGATTGTGATGGATAGTTTTAAGTTCGGTGACCCATGAGTCTATTCTTTTGGTATAGGTATGAATAAGCTATCTTGCAGGAGGGTTGGATACTTACTTATTACAATTCTTTTTTTAAATGTTTTATTTATTTTTGAGAGAGAGAGACAGCGTGAGCAGGGGAGGGGCAGAGAGAGAGGAAAACACAGAATCTGAAGGAGGCTCCAGGTTCTGAACTGTCAGCACAGAGCCCCACGCAGGGCTCGAACCCATAGACTGCGAGATGACAACCTGAGCTGAAGTCGGACGCTTAACACCCTACCCAGGTGCCCCTAAAATTCTTTTAAATATGTATTTTTAAGAGAGAGCAAGCACAAGTGGGGTAGGAGCAGAGAGAGAGATGGAGACACAATATGAAGCAGGCTTCAGGCTCTGTGCTGTCAGAATGACTATATGAATTTGTCTTTAATGACTTTTCACATTGATCTTGTAAGATGGGTATTATTATTTCCATTTTAATGTTGGACTTAAATAACATGCCCCAAGTTACACAGCCAGCAGGTGGTACCCCGAGAATTCAAACCTAAACCGTAAGCCCCTATTTCTTCACTAATCACATGGCTTCAAGCCAGGGAAAGAGCAGTTAAATGTTTAAGTATCTGTTTATGTCAGGCACTGTGCTCGGCACTCCTTTTTGTGTAGTTTTAATTAATCTTCATGGGAAATCAGAGGTGGTGATATTTGAATTTACAGTTGGCTAGACCTAGTCGGAAGATTATGGTTCTGTTCCTTGAAGGTGAAGAATATGTCTAATTAAAATGTCAAAGCTTTGGCAATAAAAATAAATTAATTAGAAAAAAAATAAAATGTCAAAGCATCCAGTAAACATTTGATGTCGATTTATTTCTTATAGTGTGCTGTGTATGAACTAGGGTAAATTTGGATGTGACACTTAGGTAATAACTCTTCAAAGTTCTGATTCCAAATTTGGCTTTTGATTTTAATGACTTTCATGACTGAAGAAAATACCTCACAAAGATTCATAGGTTCAAGTGGTAGAATTCTGTCATTGGTAACATTCATAATGTTTTAATTCTCTGCCATCAATTATGCTTAGGGCTGTGTTGTGATGGACTGTGACATTCCTTTCTTGATCTCAGTTTTTCTTGCTAATTAATTGGAAGTTGTTGCATTTATATGTATATATAAATTAACTTTAAAAGCTATTTTTTTAATGTTTTTTAATGTTTTATTTATTTATGAGAGAGAGACAGCGTGAGCAGCGGAGGGTCAGAGAGAGAGGGAGACACAGAATCTGAAACATGCTCCAGGCTCTGAGCTAGCTGTCAGCACAGAGCCCGACGTGGGGCTTGAACCCACGAACCGTGAGATCATGACCTGAGCCGAAGTCGGACACCTATCCGACCAAGCCACCCAGGTGCCCCACCTTAAAAGCTATTTTATTGGGACACCTGGGTGGCTCCGTGGGTTAAACATCTGACTTTGGCTCAGACCATAATCTTATGGTTCGTGAATTTGAGCTCTGTGTGGAGCTCTGTGCTGACAGCTCAGCCTGGAGCCTGCTTCAGATTCTGTGTCTCCCTCTCTCTTTGTCCCTCCCCTGCTCATCTGTTTCTCTTTCATAAATATTAAATTTTTAAACCTATTTTATTTTAAAATTTTATTTATTTATTTAACATTTATTCACCTTTGAGAGACAGAGGATGAGTGGTGGTCGGGGGGGTGGGGGGGTGGGGCGGGAATGCAGAGAGAGAGACAGAATCCGAAGCAGACTCCAGGCTCTGAGCTGTCAGCACAGAGCCTATTGTGGGGCTCGAACCTATGAACCGTTGAGGTCATGACCTGAGCCAAAGTTGGATGCTTAACTGGCTTAAGCCACCCAGATGCTCCCAAAATGCTTTTATTTAAGTAGACTCCACACCTAGCATGGAGCCCAGTGTGGGGCTTGAACTCACAATCCCAAGATCAGTTATTTTTCTCATTATTAAAGTGATACCTTGGGGCACCTGGCTGGCTCAGTCAGAGGAGCATGTAACTCTTGATCTTGCGGTTGTGACTCCGAGCCCCATGTTGGGTGTAGAGATTACTTAAAAATAAAGTCTCAAAAAAAAAATTAAAAAGCGATACCTTTATTTTACAGAGATAAAGTGTGCTTGGTTTTTGGAATATACCTGCTAGGTAGCATCTACTACTGATAGCCATGGGTCATCTCATACATGGTTAGTATATTTGGAACTCTTTGTGAAGAAGAAAACTGCTTATCTTTAAATTCAGCTCTTAAATATTTGGCCATAAGAAAATCAGGAAATCAGAAAGTTACATAAGTCACATTCTCTTTAACAGGATTCTGTTTATGGATCTGTTTTTATTACGGAGAATGTATGCCCAAATAAGCTTCAGGATGCTCCCCTGGAATGCATACCCTGATGAGGGCACCACTCTTCACTTTTCCCCATTGTGGAGCTACTGTTCTTCCCTTTGTGCCGTTCTGGAGTATGGCCTGAGTGAGAGTGCCACTGCCCGTTTGTATGTTAAATATCGGTACAATTTTTATTTATTTTACTTTTTTAATGTTTTTTATTTATTTTTAGGAGAGAGAGAGAGAGATAGACAGCGTGAGCAGGGGAGGGTCAGAGAGAGAGGGAGTCATAGACTGGAACAGGCTCCAGGCTCCGAGCTGGCAGTCAGCACAGAGCCTGATGTGGGGCTCGAACCCACGAACAACGAGATCATGACCTAAGCGAAAGTCAGACGCTTAACCGACTAAGCCACCCAGGCGCCCCGTCGGTACAATTTTTAAATCTAAAAATGAAAAATTGCATATAGAATGTCTAATTTTCTTCTTACATACCTGTAGATCAACTGTTACACTCCCCACTTGGGAGATCACTACCTTAGAAGGGCTTGAAGTGGGATGGAGGAATAGAAGCAGGGGCTTGGAGCTATTCTGCAAGGTAACGCACTCCTAAGTTCATGAGTTCCCAAGGAAGGGTTTGAAGATGCAAAATGTTGAAAGAAGGAAATTCTACTTGGGTAGGAGGTTGGATTTGATGACTCGCTCTTTTCCAACTCTTTAAGACTGTGACTTTATTCTTATTATTTTTTTAAAATGTTTGTTTATTTTGAAAGAGTACTCGAGCGGGAGAGGGGCAGACAGAATCCCACGCAGGCTCTGGCTCGGGGCTCGATCCCACGAACTGTGAGATTATGACTTGAGCCAAAATCAAGAGTCAGACACCCAACCCACTGATGCACTCAGGTGCCGTGTGTGTGTGTGTGTGTGTGTGTGTGTGTGTGTGTGTGTGTGTGTATTGAGAGAGAGAGAGAAAGAGAGAGAGAGAGAATCCAAAGTAGGCTCCAGGCTCTGAGTTGTCTGCACAGAGCCCCATGTGGGGCTCAAACTCAGACTGTGAGATCATGACCTGAACCAAAGTCTGACACTTAACCGACTGAGCCACCCAGGCACCCCATATTTTTTAATTAAAGTTTTTTCATCAGTTGGTTTGTTACACTTCTTGAGTTCTTAGTATGTGCCGCTATGACAGGCTGGAGGATAGAGCAGTTAACTAGATAAAGACCCTTTCCTCATGGAAGTTCAGTATT